AAATGGTTATACTGTTCGGCCCGCGAGTTTTGAGTTTTGGCCCCCTGTGCAATTGAGTTTGACACCCCTGGTCTAGACTGTAAGGTGTTTGGAGCAGGGACTGGTCATCTTGTTTGTAAAGTGCCTTATGCTGTTGGGGCATGTTGTGCAATTGCTTAATTACCTGGTCCAGCATCAGAGACAGCTGTGCCTCAGTTTCCCCTCAGCAACTGGGTAGTTAATGTGGTTTAGCTTGCTGGCCAAACTACAAGGTCTTCTACAAGAAGATAACAAAAGTCCAAAACAAAGGGGGGTGGTTGTGGGGGGGAATTGTCACATGGTTCCTGGCCAACAAATGAATGAATTATCTTAATTATGGGGTGAACCAGAACCAGGGCCTTACTTAATCCATAGGCTCCCTTAAAGGGCCAGCATATCAATGACAGTGCTCTATAAATAATAATAAGAAAACATTTCACTGCTGAGCCTCAGCCTCTGAATTCAGACGAAGCAGCTTCCTTTCCAGCCTGCTGCTTTAGCAGATCATCTCCAGTGCAAGTTGGTGGATCCATATTTGGGTGCTTAATATGGGAGGGAGGAGACTAATGTGGGACTGAGGTGGGCCTGAGATACAAATTCAGCTGTGAATCCATCTCCAAATTTCCCTAGTCTCTAGGGGCTCAGACTGAGTATTTTGGTCTGGGATCATTTCTAGTGTGAGAGTGGAGATGGTCAGAAAATAGGTTTTCTCCCATAGAAATGCTGACATGGTAATATGCCCCTAGTTTCTTCTATGGGCCAGACTCCCTGGCTGGACTACATCTCCCATGATGCACCATGGTCCCTCCTCTTGCTGTCACCTAAGTGCATCATGGGAGATGTCCATCCGATAGAGGAGAATAGGACCATGATGCATCCAAACTACAACTCCCATGAGGCTCTGAGGTGGCCTGGAGCCCCACCCAGCCTGTCTGACTCCAGTCCTATGCTTTATCCCTGAGACCACCCTTCTTGGCTTATCTGGTGCCCTTCAAAGACAATATTTGGACCCTCTAAGGTTTTTATATACTGTTATGAGTTGGGTTAAACCTTGTTCCAGGTTGAGTTAAAACTGATGTGTGAATGCACCCTTCACTTGAGACAGTGATAAGAGACAATTAAGGCAGGTGGGGTGGGGACACCTAAAACAAAGCCTAATAGAGTCTGTCCAGAAACTAGCCCCAGCTGGGTGGAAGCAGTGCTTAATTTGTAATGAAAGAGGTGCTGGGGCTCAAGCAATTAGGTGCTAGAGCTCAAGCAATTTTTTACATTCAAAACTGATGCAGCAAGCCCAGAGGTGCCGGGGCTATGAACTGCCAAGCCTAGAGGTACCAGGGCACGGCCCTGGCACAAATTAAGCACTAGGTGGAAGGTTCCACTGGATAATAGTTCTGATCAGATGAGTATGTGAAATAGACAAGCTGGGGTACAGACACAGATCAGAGACAGACTATGCAGCAAAAAGCACGAAAGCAATAGCCTGAAAGCATGGTGTATGACCCTGGAAAAAGCTAGAGATGAGTTTTTTAGAGCTGGTGTTGGCTAGAGAGGCTTGGAGCTGTAAGCTAAGAAACTATTCTTTTGTTTCTGGTTCATCCTGTATTTGGAAGAGCAGGACCTTGTCCGTTGCTTGTAAATAAGCAAGTTTGCATCAAAGAAAATACCAGACTCCATCATCAGTTTCTGCCCCCAACTGGCACATCCCCATGCCTCTGAACTTTGATTAGGTGCTTGGTAGAAAATGGACAACAGAGCCTTAAGCTGTTTCTCCACATAGAAAAGAAAAGCACAAATGCTTGAAGGGTGACAATTTTATGAGCTGGAGCATTCCCTGAGATTCCTGTCAGGAGATCCTTTCAGAGCAGCTGTGGGGCTCTCTTCCTCTCATGGAAGGAAATCGGTGGGGGCCATGGAGTGTGTGCAGGACTTTAGGCTTGGTCTATGTGAAAAGTTGCTCTGGTTTAACTAAAAGCATGTTTTTAAACTGATTTAGTTAAACCAGTGCAAACCCCTGCGTGGACACACTTAATTTGATTTAAACCTGGTTTATAACTGGTTTAGCCTGCATTGGTACATTTAAAAACGTCTCTTTAGTTTAATCACTGCAATTGCTGTGCTTAGGTCAGACCTGAGGTACAGGATCTTGTGAAGTGTCTAAGTACCATGTCCCACCCACTTTTAAAGAGACAGTAGTAATGAGATAGTGGGTTTTTAAAGGGCAGCATTGTTTCCACATGTGAGAATCAAAATGGACCCATATGATTACAAGTTTGTGTGTGTGGCTTTGTTAACTTGATAAAATCCAAATTTGTTGGGGGTCACACATCTGGTGCCCAGTTATTACTAGGATGGGTACTCTATAAACACCACAGACAGACAGAGAGAAATCTGAATAGATCTAACATGTCGGCTGAACATTATGCTCTTTGATTTACATTGGGGTAGGACACCTGTTTTGCTTTTGCCTTCTAGAAACAGAATAATAGAAGTTACAGAAAGGACAACTGCCCCCTACAAGGTGCACTTTATGAACATTTTTTACTCAAGGCCAAATTTCTTCCACTGGTGTGAATTTGGAGGAATTCTGCCTTCACTGAAGTTCCTTAGGATTTATGCTGATATAACAGAATTAAGAAGATGGTCTTCAGAATCACTGATGTCAGTGAGTTTGCAGCAGTGAAAATCAGTGTAGAATCAGGTTATAATGTTACTTCGTATGGCATCTTTCATACCAATAGATTAGAGTATAAATGATATAATTGTGGAGATTGCTGAGAGGTACAGCTTAGGCAAGGAAGAAAAGAGATACAGAGCCTAAGAAGTTTTGCTAACATGAATAGGTCACCATATAAATCTGTTATTTCTTCTGATTCAGGTATCATAGAGTCTGTTGCCAGAGACTTCTTCAACAGTGAAGTGACAATGGAAATTCTTACTCAGAGTGAAGAAAAGGAGCGCACTGGGAAAAAGGAGCATGTTATATTTCTTGTTCTGCAGAAGGTTAAAAGGCCAAAGAGAAAAACCAAAAAGACAACAAATCCAGAAAGCGTAGACTCCCACAAAGATAAAGAGGTGCAGTAAATCATATATGGAAATGAGGGAGGTTTACTTACAGTTTTCTGTGCCTGTCTGGTTTCTCTTAATCTACAAGAAATATTTTAAGGCAAACAATCCATGCATTCTCCCTTTAAGTTTAGAGCTGGATTGAGGATGGTGAGTCTGATTCTACCTTGCTCCTAGGTAAAATGAGGGCAAAGTGGATGCATCTCACAGAGGTGTAAGGTCTACACAAGCTGCAAGGCAGTGGGGGCAATAGTCCTCTAAAGCTGTGGATAAGTCATAGGTTAGAGTTCACATCTGAGACTGAATAATCAATTAAAGAAATAATAATTAAAAACGATGTGATATACTGAATTTGAGAAAGAGCACACGATCATGTAATTAAAGACGGCATTATCATGCCTATGCACAATGAAGCAAAGTGAAGGTTATATGTGCAACCTTAGCTTTAGCATTTCCTGTCTTTTAAGTGCTTAACAATTCAGCCTTAATGTTGTCTTACTGTAGCGTGTTAAAATGGACCATCTGTATGAATCGTTCACACACAAACATTCTCCTCTCTTTGGCTGCTGCTCTCCAGAAGGCACTAGCCGTAGCTTTTCAGAAAATGGAGAACTATTCTGCTCTCTCGTGCTGCCCAGAAAAGAAATCCCACTGGGATATTGTGAGAAGTGTTGTGAAATTTGGGAAAGGTGAGTGTACTAACCTCCGTTACAGTGATCATAATGAGATATGGGGCTCAGCTGTGCAGACAAATGGACACATTCCCACGAGGATGGCAGCCTGTTGGATATAAATACTGGAGGCCGTAAAACAGTCCAGATGATATCATTGATTTATGTACGGATAGCAGAGTTTGGACTTGGTGAGAGGTTTTCTTGCTTAAATATGATCAGACCATAATTTGCAATTACTTTATTTGCCCCAGACCCTTTTCTTCATGTTCATTGATGTAGCTTGATGCCTGGGTCTCTATACTCATCGTGGGACTTTTATAATGTTCTTTTCCTGTTTAGATTATTTTAAAAATACTATAGTGCAATGGGACTGGCCACTCAGCCATAGGGGCTGGAACTAGGGGTACTGGGGGTGCTACCACACCCCCTGGCTTGAAGTGGTTTCCATTATAAACAGGCTTTACAGTTTGGTTTAATGGTTCTGAGCACCCCACAAAATTTTTGAGCACCCCTGCACTCAGGAGACTAATAGAAGCATGAAAAGGCTTTCACTTATGGGGTGTTTTTGTGGCCAACATGAAGAGACTTGATCCCAGTCTACTTTACTGGCGTGAAGTGGCCACACCACAACAACCACCAGCACAACCTTGCAGGCAGACTCTGAAGAGAAGCCAAGGACTGGAATGAACAGGAAGAATTAACTATCTTCCTACCTTAGTGGGGTCCCACCCAGGCCAGCTCTGAGGTACTGTTGGGTCAATTATTTTACTGCTGCCCATGCTGTATCTGTTCCATGGATAGATAGAGGACTTCATTCTCAAGGACTGTGAATATGGCACCTTACAGCATGTCCAAATTCACATGCACTGAAAGTATTGTGAATGAATTTAATTATCATGGCAGTGAGGCAGTAATACCACTTTAACCAGGCACAGTAGGGACAAGGGCTGTGCACGCTCTCCATATACTGCTCTGCCAGCACACCACTCTTCTGGCCTGTAACACATTGATACTCCAGTCTAGGTGCTCTCATAAGTCAAGCCAGCTAATTGTGCAGCAATTTTTAAAATGTTCATTGCTGGTAACTAGGATGAAACTGCCCATCTTGTTCACCTTTAAGTCAGGATTTGAAGAGGTAAAAGGCTAATGTGCTAACCTGCTCCCCCCACCTCCATACACACACACTCCATTCCCAGCTGTGTGGCGGTTATATGTGTTTGGGAGAAGCTGTGTGGTTCCAGTTTGAGCTCTTCCACTGACAACTAGAAAAACAGGCCATTAGTCACACTCCGTCATCTGCAGGATTCTAAGCACCCCATTCAGTTACTGCTGCTACTAGCTGGCCAAATGCATTGTTGACAATGTTTCTCTGTGCTATCCAAAAGGTTTTGTTATGAAAAAAATGTCGTATCAAAAATGACTGAAGTAGCCTTCAGCATTACACAGTGCAGCTTTGTATAGCAACGGTAGGGGTGTTTATATTACTGTGGGCAAGCGCTTTGTCAGCTATTTTCTTCACAAACTCTATTTCAGGGGTTTAATATATTGCTCATAAAACACTGTTGTGGGCAGAAACTTGGCCTCTGAGGCGAGTTTTCAGTTTGATAGCTACTTTTTTCCTTTAGTTTGGGAAATTAAAATCCATTTGGCCAGTGTTCATTTATAAGTGACTGTGAGACAGCGAAGAAGCTCAAGCAACACACTTAGACAGTCTTTCAGCTCTCCTGTTCCAGAGAGTGAGGGCTTATGTTTTGGTCAAGGAAAACAGAGCACAACAGACAGTTTGTTCCACATTCTCAAAGGTATTTCGGTTCCTAATTTCCACTGATATCAATGGACATTGAGAGCCTACATACCTTTGAGGATATGGACCTTGTTGCCTAGATGCAACAACCTGCTTTCTCTCAGGCAGTCTCTGACTTCCTCTTCAATCAGATGCTTTTTTGGTTTGTGCCTGTGTCACAGGCCCAAGGACTCCCTCCCTCAGGGGGTCCCATGGGGAGGCAGTTCAGCATTGTATGGTGCTAACATGGTTGTAAGCATCACAAGGCATTTGGGGAAGGGGGGTGGGAAGGTCAAAGGTGTAAGCGTGGAATGGAAGATTTTCTTGCAGGGAGCAAGAGGCCAAGAGGGGGAAGGAGGAAAAGAGCAAAGAACAGGTTAACTCGATACTTCAGCTAGTTCCGTGTGCACATAAGACGGTGGCCCTGGTCCAAGGTCATGGGCGCGACAAAAAATCTGCAGCTGCCCAGCCATGAGAAGAGGAGAACAAAGTTGAGCAGGGCTGCAGAGATAGCAGTAAAAACAATAAGAGCAAATGAGATGGTGAAGGCCAACAGGGGGAAAAACAAAGTCTCTGGAGCCGGGGTGTTTTGGGAAGCCGAGGAAGCCATAGTGAGTTGGTTTGAACTGGTACAAAGAGCACCAGAAACAGAGGGCCCTGGATGAAAACATCCCCAAAGGAACCCAGGACTTAAAACCCTCCCGAGAGCCAAAGCAAGACGGAGATTGCAGCAGACCCTGGATGACCAATGCACGGGGCAAGAACTCCCGTCCACCCCTCCCCCTCGTCTTCTTACGTTACACCCAGGCTTGGCCAGCCATGTGTCGTGCATGTGTGAGTATGAAAGTGGGTTAGGGCTGGGGTACTAACGCTTTCTTGCTTCCTTTAAGTGACGTGGGAGCAGTCCCCACACTCACCACTGTTATTTTATTATTTTATTAATAAAGCTTTAAAATTTAGACACTTGGAGTGTTTCGTCATCTCCTCCCCAAACAATCCTGTGGCCTCAGGCAGATTAGTAACAAAAATCTGTCACACCTGGAGCACCTGTGTAAGCCTGTTGCCAGGATCTCTGCATTTGCAAGGGACAAGGTAAAGTTTCTGCTTATTGTCGCAGGGACTAAGTAACAAAGTTCAGGCTGTTTCAGGTGATATTAAAAACCTCATCATTAGACTGCGCTCCTCTCCATGTAAAAATAGATTAGAGCTGGTCAAAAGATCTTGGATGACATTTTTTGATGAAAAATGGCTTTTTGATCAAAAAAATTGTGAAAAAATGTCCATGTTTGTTGAAATCTTTCAGGGTTGTTGAAAGTCTGACAACATAAATATTTTTGGTTTTTCTGACCAAAAAAAAAATCCACAATAAACGTTGCTGAAAAATAAAAATATTTTTATCAAGGCTTTTCACAGAAAATAAAGGTGCATTTTTGACCAACTGTACAGCAGAGTATGATGGACTGAAGGCAGTGCTTAATTTGTGCCAGGGCTGAGCCTGGACACCTCTAGGCTTTCTGCAGTTATGAATGTAAAAAATTAGCATATTAAGCACTGACTGAAGGGGAGATTTCCAAAGGCAGAAAGGGCATTTATGCTCCCAACTCCTGTTGACATTCCATGGAAGTTTGGTGCCCAGATGCCTTTGAAAGTCTCCTCCTTATTCCTCATGTTTGTTTTTTGCAGGGAACCTGTCACATACTTTTGGCCCAGTTTATCCAGAGAGGCTTTGGGTGGAAGAGAGAACATTCTGCAACGCTTTTCCTTTCCACATTGTGTTTGATGAAGAAGTAAGACATCCTCCCTGGTCGGGAGCTTGTAGCTAAAGATGTTATGGCAGAGAAAACAATCTAAGGCCTGGATCCTCAGCCGCTATGTACTTCATGGAAGCTGGAGTTAGACTGATTTACAGCAGCGGAGGATCTGGCCTTAATTGTTCTCTCTCTCACCTTATGTTGGAAATGAAGGAACATCACATTTTGTCTTGATATCTGCATGTGCATAATTAAAATGAGAATTGACAAACACCCGCCATCTTAGTCAGCGTTCCCACTGGCCAATGGTACTTCAGGACTGTGTGTCTGGCACTCTAATGGTTAACCATCATGAATCTCTGTGTTGGGCTCTGCAGCGCCGTTGCTGCCTGCCTCCCACGTAGCTGTGCAAAAAGAACTACTTAAACTGAGCTAAATACTGCTGAAGTTACATCATTTTACCGCATTGAAATCAGTGGGGTTTCACAGGTGTCATTGGGAGCAGATCTGAATTCATCTGTATGCCCAGATTCAATGCTAGGGCTGTGCATTTCTTGAGCTCCTGTCACCTCATCTTGAGTCCTGCCAACCCTAGCCTAGGTCTCTATCCCCTCCTTGAACTCTCTAAGTTAGTTTCTATTGGGCAGGGGTGGGAAGTGGGCTCAGACAGACACAGGCTAGAAGTTTGGACTCTGAATATGTGACCCCGGATGCTACCTTGAGCAGTCTTTCTTGAGATACCAAAGCGGTAGCCCTTGGTCTCAGACTAGTGAGGGACTGGACACATATTTACTCAATCCAAAATTAAACAGGTTTTAAATTATCCTCTTTCCTCCACACCCTCAAACAGGTAAATTGTAGCACGACATTCCTTTGTTTTTGAAAGAGTTTTTAATTTTGACCCAGGTTTATGATTTTTCTTCCTGTTCTTAGCTAAGGATCAAGCAGGCAGGTGTGAACATTCAAAAGTTTATGCCAGGACTACGGCGACCAGGGAGCAGAGTAGATAAATACTTTACTGTCGTCCATCCACAAGTTACCTTCACCATTTTCAGCATAAGGAAATTTATCAACAGTCAATTTGTCCTCAGAGCACACAGAGAAATGTTGCCTGACTCACAGAGAAACCAACCCATGCTGAAGCTCCGAGGTACTAACTTACAGTTGCTTTTTACTGCTGCCCAGTGTGTGTTGGGGGGGATACCTAGGCAGAGAGGAGTAGCTGAAAAGCCTGGAGGTTGAATTTTCTTAACTATACTTTTACTTTGGGAAAATTTGGCTACGTGTCCTTCAACTAATGGCTAGAGCATGGTTTATCCAATCGGTCATAGTGTGGAGCAAACCTTCAGGAGAGTTTATCTTGTAGGCCCTTCCTGTCCCAATCAAACTCCCAGTCACAACTGTGTGACATTTCTAAGACTATATGCAAGGCTGGGATTTTCACAAGCACTGAGCCCTAGCCTAACTCTGCTCCCATTGAAGTTTTACCATAGAGATTAAATGTTTTTTTGCAAATCCCGCCCCTAATGCTTTTTACAGCTAGGGTGGCTTCTTTTTGTTTCCAGCAGTTTTTACTGGCATCCAGGTTCATATTTCCATGAAGACCCTGGATGCTTGCAAAAATTCCTGGCAAAAAAAGGAAGAAGAGCCAATATCATTTGACCAGCCTGCTCAGCTAGAGGTCCCAATGAGAGCAATTTTTTAGGTATATCCTTTTGTTTCTTTTTGCATCATGCCCAACCATTGTATATTCCACAGTCACATACTAACCCTGGCTTGTGCATGCAGACTCTATGTTAGTTTATAAAAATGCCAAGTATTTCAGGATTTCCCCCAAAGTGTCTCAGTGTCAGGGCCGGCTCCAGGCACCAGCAGAGGAAGCACATGCCTGGGGCGGCACATGCTAAGGGGCAGCATTCCGTCCATTCTTGGGGCGGCACAGTCTGGGAGGCTTTTTTGCTTCGTCAGTTCGGGCGCTGTTTTTTGCTTCAGGAGTTCGGGAGGCAGTCTGAGCGGCTTTTTTTTCTTTTCTTTCTTTCTTTTTGCTTGGGGCGGCAAAAATGGTAGAGCCGGCCCAGCTCAGTGTGTTGGGGAAAGTAATACTGCATGTATCTGAAAAATTAACCGTAGCTGAATTGCCAGTGACTCATGTACAGGTTGGGAAAGTTTTCAGGCAGGGAATATGTAGGGGAGTAAATCAAAATGTGTTGGAACTGCTACATGCCTTTCTATTTAAAGGACAAATGATCTGGATGGAGTCCATACAGTGCATGATATACCTGTGTTCACCAAAGCTCCGCAGTTTAGAGGAGTTGGAGGAACAAAAGATGCACATCTCCGACATTGCGCAACATGACACAACAAGGGACCTCATTCTCCTGAACCAGCAGCGTCTGGCAGAGATAGAGCTGTCCAACCAGCTGGAGCGAAAGAAGGAAGAGCTCAGGATCCTCTCAAAGAACTTAGAGGCTGAAAAGAAGAAAACAGAAACCTTGCTGTATGCCATGCTGCCGAAACATGTAGCCAATCTGCTCAAGGAGGGCAAAAAGGTGGAAGCAGGTACTGGACTTTCATTATCACTCACACTCTTCAGGTTCAACTAGTGTGGCTGGCCTTAAAAACTTGTCAGTTGCCTTTATAACTGAATATTCCATGGGCATTCCCTTCCGCAGTCACTGAATAAGAAGATGCATGTGATACCACCACTACCCTTATCTAACCCCAAAGGCAAAATTGTGCAGTTCTGAAAGGGTGAATACTCTATCACCAATCAAGAGCAGGGCTGGTTTCATGTGAGGGTAAGATGTGCACATATGGATTATATGTTCTTTTGATTTTAACCTGGTAACTACTAAAACAAGAAAGGTTGATTTCATAAGCCACATGCAGCAAAACACGTAAGTAGGTGTTTAAATTGGCAGGTGGTCAAACATTTGCAGTTGTGTGAACAAAACACATTTGCCCATGCAAATCAAATAGCCATCTAACACTGCCCTTAACTTCTGGCATCTACCCAATTTACATGCACAAATTTAGTCTGTGCCTTTAAAGCTGAGCTTCAGAACTTGACTGCACAAAACTGTGAACTTGAATGTAGAGTTACTATTAAACTCTTCGCTGAAAAATTGATATTTTTCAAAACAAGCTGTAAAAAACATTCTGGGTCCAGTCCAGCAGTCTTAACAGGAGAGGTTTGTTCATAGTCACTGGGGTATTTGCATAACTTTATATAAGTCCATTATAGGAACCGTATTTTTTTAAAACCCATCTAACGGATTAGAAGAATGTTGCGAACAGATAAAAGATACAGCTGAACTGTGGCCAGCTATGACAGTATAGCTTTAAATATTAAAATATTCAGGCTGGGATTTCAGTGGAGCCTACCAAAGTCAGGTGCCCACATCTCATGGAAATTCATAAGAACATAAGAATGGCCATACTGGGTCAGACCAAAGGTCCATCAAGCCCAGTATCCTGTCCTCTGACAGTGGCCAATGGCAGGTGCCCCAAAGGGAATGAACAGACAGGTTATCATCAAGTGATCCATGCCCTGTCACCCAATCCCAGCTTCTGGTAAACAGAGGCTAGGGACACCATTCCTGCCCATCCTGGCTAATAGCTATTGATGGACCTATCTTCCATGAATCTATCTAGCTCCCTTTTGAACCCCGTTATAGTATTGGCCTTCGTAATATCCTCTGGCAAGGAGATCCAGAGGTTGACAGTGCATTGCATGAAAAAATACTTTGTTGTGTTTGTTTTAAACCTGCTACCTATTAATTTCATTTGGTGGCCCCTTGTTTTGAGAAGGATTAAATAACACTTCCTTATTTACTTTCTCTATACCATTCATGATTTTATAGACCTCTATCATATCCCCCCTTAGTCGCCTCTTTTCCAAGCTGAAAAGTCCCAGTCTTATTAATCTCTCCTCATACGGAAGCTGCTCTCTACCCCTAATCATTTTTGTTGCCCTTTTCTGAACCTTTTCCATTTCCAATATATCCTCATTTAATACTAGGCACTCTAGTTCCCCCATCTTATTATTGAGACTTCTAGCATTGGTATATAAGCATTTTAAAAACTTGTCATTTTTTGGTTGTCCCCTAGTGCATGACATAATTGAATGGGACTTTTTCTCATTTGACTGTTTCTCATCAGATCCTCCCTGTATTTCATCATTTTCCATCCTCTCCTCCTTATTAGGACATAGGGAATCTCCATTTATAGATCCTCCCCTACGGGATGTCTCTGTCCGAACCACATGCTCTTCCGCACTTGTTGGCTTTCCCCTAGCCCTTAGTTTAAAAACTGTTCTACGACCTTTTTAATTTTAAGCGCCAGCAATCTGGTTCCGTTTTGGTTTAGGTGGAGCCCATCAATACAATTTGGGCATTTTAGGTTCTTAGTTTTAGGCCTGATCTGATACCAATTGAAGTTAATGGGCGTCTTTCCATTGAGTTCTGTGTGCTTTGGCTCAAACTAGTCAATAGGATTTTGTTTGGCAGATTACAGAAATCTATTGTCAACTTTTATTATTGACGTAGTCAAATAACAGTGGATGCTTTTATAAAGAAATATGCATCTCATATCTGATTTCTCCCTCAGGGGAATTTAATTCCTGCACGATTCTCTTCAGTGATATAGTGACATTCACAAATATCTGCTCAGCCTGTGAGCCTATCCAAATCGTGAACATGCTGAATTCCATGTATTCAAAGTTTGATCGATTAACCAGTGTTCACAACGTGTATAAAGTAAGTGTTTGTTACTTGTGTTCTGTGCTATTCTTTACTGCACTTTTGTTTCCCATATTTGAAATTCTAAAGAGAGGCTAAAATGTAGAAGAATGGCTATCACACACAGTTTGACTTATTTTCAAACTTTTGAGATGAAAATTTGGGGGACCATCCCACCTCCCTATTCTCCCCAACATGAAGATTCAGGAACTAAGAGTTTGTCACTGGAGAGTTTATAAAGTATATAAAGTATAATGAAAAAAGATTTCATATACAGCTACACCCTAGATTCATCCCCAGACTTGTGACATGATGAACGAATCCAACCCCCAGTTACTTCAATGGGAGAGCAAGGCACTCAGCACCTTACAGGACTGGGCGTTTTGCTTTCCAGTGAAGTCAACAGGAGCCTTTCCATTGACTTCAATGGGCTTTGAATCAGGCCCTGTCTGACTACTGCATTTTTCCCCTTGTCTGTCAGGTTGAAACAATAGGCGATGCATACATGGTAGTTGGAGGAGTCCCAGTGCCTATTGCCAGTCATGCCAAAAGAGTGGCCAATTTTGCACTGGGTATGAGAACTGCTGCCAGAGAGGTGATGAACCCCATCACTGGAGAGCCTATTCAGGTATAAAACAGGTGAACTCAGTTTGATACAAAGTACTGCACTTAAGTGCTTTGCTGAATCACAGCCTAAGTGGGTGAGTAGCTTTAAGCAAGCGTTCTGAGGTGCTACAGTAATACAAATAATAATGCATTTATGTACTTTGCTGAATTTGGGCCTTAGGCCTCAATCCTGCCTGGTGCCGAGCACTAATCGGGAATCTAGCAAAGCACTTAGGCACATGTTCATCAGCTTGCAGGAGCAAGTCCATTGGGATCTGCTGTATCTTTATTGGCATCTGTGTCTGTACATAATTAGCAAGTCAGTTAATGGCTCCCGAACAAGAACAAAAGTAGTTGACCCTGATTTATTCCAAGCTTGCCTCTCCTTTGTCTGAGCTGCTTAACACAGAGCAGGGCGGTGGCTTTTTTTCCTGTTAGCTGAGAAAGTATAAGCCATTTTACAAATCATTACTGCACAACTATACAAATGCAGTGTGAACTGTTACCAGAAAGGACCACTGCCTAATCCAGAGGAGGGAATAGGGCTGTAGAAAGAACAGTGCAGGGCGTTTTCTATAACCAATTTTTATTAGTATTTTCTTTGACAATAATTTACAGCAAAGCAGTGAGATAACAGCCAGCTTACAGAGGACAAAGCTAAGTGTGGGTAGATTGAATGATGTATGTCGTATGCATAGAGGTAAGGTTTATTCTGAGACATTGATGCAACTTCCATTAGGCAATAGGCTACTGTCCTTAGGTGAAATTTAGCCATTTGCATGAGATGAATTTCACCCTAGTTGAGCTGTGTGCATCTGTTCTCTGGTGCAAGATTGCTCTGGTTTGTTTTCTTGTTTCAAGTCTTACAGACCACAAATGCTGGGAAAAAGCAACAGCAGCGATCGGCAACTTTTGGCCCGTGGCCCGTCAGGGAAATCCGCTGGCGGGCCGGGACGGTTTGTTTTCTTGCAGCATCTGCAGGTTTGGCTGATCACGGCTCCACTGGCTGCGGTTCGCCGTTGCAGGCCAATGGGGGCTGCGGGAAGTGGCGGCCAGAACATCCCTCGGCCCACACCACTTCCCACAGCCCCCATTGGCCTGTAGCGGTGAACCGCGGCCAGTGGGAGCTGCGATCAGCCGAACCTATGGACTCTGCAGGTAAACAAACCATCCTGGCCTGCCAGCAGATTTCCCTGACAGCCCGCATGCCAAAGGTTGCCGATCCCTGAGCAACACCTTTTACATTGGTCAATGGTTAAATCCCTTTGGGTATATTATCAAAATGATGATACTGATGGGAGTTGTACCAGTTTAATTGCCACATGGCAGGTTCAGGCTTTACCTAGTAAGATGCAAAATAAAGTTCAGCCCTGGTGTGAACAGGTGCCAATTTCCCACTAAAATCAATGGGAGTTGTGCCCACTGTATGCCTGAATGGAACTTGCCCCGCTATCCACCCAGTCTGGCAGTGCCAGAAATAGAAGCGTGATATACAGAGAACGCCAGAAGATGCAGCCAGTCCTCCTTCCATTTCATTGTTTGCTGAATTGTAATATCAGCTCCTTTTTCTGGAAACCTGTAAGACAATTTTTTAGACTTGCTATACCTTAAAAGCAGAGTTTCCAAACTATACTACATATGTTGTCTTTGATGGTCTTTCTAGCACCGCTACTTAGTTCCCAGAACAGGGGAAGAGACTGCTCAGTACTATCCAACGGGGTGGTGGATGGGGATGGGCTGCTGACATCAATGAAGAGCCAATATGATTTTCAGAATATTATGTTGGGTTTATACTGACAGATCAGAGTTGGGATCCACACAGGACCAGTTTTGGCTGGAGTGGTTGGTGAGAAGATGCCCAGGTATTGCTTGTTTGGAGACACTGTCAACACAGCTTCTCGGATGGAAAGTCATGGACTTCCTAACAAAATCCATCTCAGCCCAACAGCATTCAGGTAGTGTCAAAAGGTTAAATAATGAGACCCCAAACAATCCGGAATTCTTTTCCTCCTTCTCTTCTGTTTATAGCATTAATAACACAAACAGTTTCTCTCTTGGATGAGAGCCAATGTAGGCACAGAGCACCAACTCCATTTAGCTCACAGTACTTTTCAATCTGGAAACACACATGATAAAGTTTCATTTTCACACTTACTAATAATCTCAAAACAATTCACTGAGGGATACAGTTTAAATCTGAGTCCCTAAACTATGACGCAACGGTACCCGTTGCTCAAGCAACACCCACACAAAGTGCCTATTTACAAGCACTTTGCACATACAAGGTTTGATGGCTGTAGCGGGACAGTTACCCTGCTCTGGAGAGAGAAGGCTAGGCTGATTGGGGAAGCAGCCACAGCTGGGGCTACGCCCCAATCAGGCCACAGTCTGCCCTATAAAAGGGTTGTGAGCCAGGCGCTAAGTCAGTCTCTCTCTAGCTGTAGAGAGAGAAGGACCAGGCTGCCTGGGAGAGAAGGATCCTGAGTAGTGCTGGGAAAAGGCAAGAAGAGCTGGGGAGCTCCAGCCTGTCAACTCCCCAGGCTGCAGACCCTGTGCAAGGCCTAGAGGTACTGGGGCTGCAGAGGTGTAGCCTGGGGTTAGGCAAAGGCAGCAGGTCCAAACCCCCCTTGCCAGTGATGAATAATTTACAGACTGCAGTCTGCCCCAGTGAGCGGGGGGCTAGACGATGACTGGCAGTAGCCACTGAGGCAATGTGGGGATAGAGGGTTGGGGGTTCCCCTGGGAGGGGAGACTCAGAGAGTGGGGGTACCGCTGGGGCAGAACCCTGAGGTAAAGGGCATTGGGGTCTGGAAGGGACACGGGGCCAGCAGCAGGCAAGACAGCGGCCTGCAGAGGGTGCTCCATGTCCTGAAAAAGAGCTAATTCCCAGATGACCAGCAGGAGGCGCTGCGCTGGTGAGTCTCACTTCGCTACAATGGCATACAGTCACAGCTCTGCAATGACAGGGTGAAGAAGGTGCAGTCCCCAACTAGGAGCTTCTTTTCAGCCATGCTGCCTCTCAGAGCAATAAGTAACTTACACAAATAGTTTCTTAACATGGCAACACTTCCTGCCCAAAAATAATAAATAAAGAGTCTTACATTGCATTGCTACCCCCAGCAAAATTCCTGTGGTATTTAATGACAGCTTTGCCTGAGTAAGAGCTGAAGGATTGGATTGACAGTCAACATAAATGTGATGTTATGGCCGTAATCATAAACCAGTCTACTCTCTTCTATGCATGAAACCCAAAGAGGTTCACAATCAAATAAATACCTGAAGTCCCAATCCACTCGCATTACTCAAATGCCCATCAGTATCTTTATGCATTCAATCCAAGATTTTCCTGCCAGAAACCAACAACAGGCAATTTGTGGGATGAAGATATTTGCTTGTTTTAATGTAACACAGGAGAGCTGCTATTAAATAAGCTAAACAACTAGGGGATGTTTAATTCTGCATTCCTGATACAAATTCACGTGTGGCTTCTAATTAAATATGGAACTTTGGAAACTCTCATGATGAACATTCTAAATTTTAAAGACTCAAAACATTCCACCCTGTCAATAATTACTGTAAAGAACAGTTATAATCTTTATACAAATGACACTGTTTTAACTAAACAGAACTGCTCTGTATAAAGTACATCCTCAGGCGCTTACTTGCTAACTTTATTGACCAAATATATTCTATTCCTTTTAGCACTGGAGAGCTAAACAGTTTTGGTAGAGGGAGCTGGATTCCTTTCTGACTCATGCATCATCAACAGATTTGTTACATTTCAGCTGCCAAATCTTTATTACTGGTGATGATGCATGAGCCAGAAGGGCAGAGGCTGAGTTTGCAGGACTTGCATTGAGTAAAAATATTTACTTGTGAAGTGAGCACAGTTGATTTCGAGCCACAAATATGGAACCTCACATTATTTTCACAGGGTCACTTTTCTGTGTTTAACTGCACATTATGTTAACAGGGAACTTTGCCCACCATGGCCAAAGATGCAACTGAAGACAGATTGGTTAGGTCCCAATCCTGTGACATGCAGTGGATGGACAGGCTGCTGCCCCTGGGCGGAAGTCAGGTGGGGTTCTACCCATTAAATTCAGTGGGGTTTTCTGGGATGCAGCAGGCTGCCCAGGCACTACACGTTGCAGGATTGGGGCTTGAGTACCTTCCTGTTTGGAGAAATGTCTTGAGTATGTTTGAACAACCACGTAACATTTAAACAGTGCCTCTTCTGTTCTGTACTTTCCCAGCATAAACAGCCTTTACAGAAGAGCTTCTAAGTTAGGCTCTCATTGTGAATACTCATGTGTATAAAGTTAAGCATGTGCGTAAGTATTTGCAGGACAGGGGTCTAAGCTTGATGCTCCTGTGTAAAGGCCAGGGGAAAGTACAAAATATAAGAGAGGCTGTTCACATGATAAATATCTGCTCATTGTGATGTCAATGAGACTAGTCACCTGTGTAAAGCTAAGCATGTGCAAAAGTGATTGCAGGTCAGAAGCTTAGCCTCTAGACCAACCCTAATTAGAAAAATAAACTTTTCCTTTGATAGTGCTGTTCTGTTTACAAAAACAGCACTAAAAAAATTCATCCAACCCTACAAATATTGCTCTGCAAAATTTATCCTTCATCCTTCTCGCTCCAAATCCCAACCTAGACTTCTTTGTCCTAACGGTTGTCCCATATCTTCCATTGTGCAGAGCTCTACAAAATCAAGGCTTCGAAATAGTTGAAAGGGGAGAAATTGAGGTGAAAGGCAAAGGAAAAATGACCACCTATATTCTGAGGCAGAATCTATATGCAACTGAGAATGAAATCATGGGGAGAGCAGAAAAGCAGCACTCCAGTCACACGGATCAGACGGGTGAGCTAAGAGAAATGTCTTAATCCATATATAGGATGCAAAATGATATTTCTCTCTTTATTAACAAAGCTCATACTTCATAGAGAACACCTTTGCCTCCTACATTACACCTACATCGCATACTTATATCCTTGCCTTAGGTTTGAAATCTATTCCCTCAAACTAACGTTTAATACAGCATCTCAAACCATCATTTAATCCCAGAGGGCCTGATTTTCAGAGGTGCTGGGTACTTGCAGTTCCACTGATTTAAATGACAGTTTTGGTGCTTAATATCTCTGACAATCAGGCCTAAGGTCAGCACAAACTACATTTTCTAGGGAGTAACTTTAAACTGACAATATATATGTGACTAAAATACAATTATTTGTAACCAAATGTAATGGACGTTGTCTTTATAGTCTTGAAAATTATATTATAACCTGCTCAATTCAACTAAGAAACAAATAATCCAAATTTTATTCATTAGAAGCCCATTTAAAAAACCCTAAAAAAATTCAATCATTTACATCATTATGGCCAAGTATCTTTTTTTTTCCCGTGTGTGTGTGGCTGCTAATGAGGACTTCAGATTTAAGGTTCTTGCCACTTGGAAGTGAGATAATAGGGTGACTTTTAAAAAATAACATTTAGATTCTATAATAGTGATGGGAACAAAGAGTTAATTTCATCATGAAACAAGCAGCAAAGAATAATAATAGAAATAGAGAAGTTACAGATGGCAAAAATACCTAGAGGTTAGAGATGGACCTAGATCTAGGCCTTAGCTCTAGAAGACTGAGAAGTTATAAATGGAAACACAGTCCCTGCCCTGAAGAGTTTGCAACCTAAATAGACAAGACAGACAACAGACTTGGGGATAAAGGTGTAACCTATAAGAAGAGTGATTAAGGTGATGGCTGGCAAATGTTACAAGTTCTTGGGGTTTTTTAAGTGAATATAGAAGGGTGTAATGTGAGGGCAGAGGGGAGAGTTAATAGGTGCAGAGGAACAAGAGAACGAAGGAAGGGGAGGGTGTGAAAGGGAAATGGGGAGCATAGAGACAAGGCAAAGAGAGGAACAGGGATTACAGAGTCTGAAGCTACAGCAGAGGATTGGGGACTGGGGAGGGAGCAAACAGACAAATAAAAAGGACCCAAAATGTTTTGAAACATGACTTATGCAGTAGATTCAAATTGCCATCTCCTCTCCCCAATTATCACCAAAATGGCACCACTGCCTCTTGGGAAGAGTCCCTTTCCTGAGCAAACGCATAGAATGGGAGCAGTCCCATGTCTCACACTGCAGTGTTCGTTTGAGCAGAGGACATTTCTCAACAGAGCCATGCATTGTTCCCATTCTACCGTCTGCTGCCCTGGCTCCTGCAAGTGGGAGCCAAAGAGAGTCCATGACTAACACAGCTCAACCATCAAAGGGAGTGGAGTTAGCTGCAAAATAAGCTTGTCTGTTTGTCTTTGCAAAGCCCAGCAGTTGAATAGTTGTTTCTGTGCTGCGGAAACCATGAAAAACAAAACACAATGAAGATACTATGAAAGTAGGCACCCTACTTTGGTCGAGATGCAAAACTCTTTGCACATTCATTTGCTCACATATCACCTGATGCAGCTTTAGGCCTCTGTCTTATTTAGCTAGTGAAATATTGACAGATGGGGAATGTCAGTGACCAAAAAGTGAATCAATGTGATCCCACTTCACATCTAACTCGGTGAAAAGATAGACTGTTTCTGGCAAGAGCTAATTGTTTTGAACTTCAGGAACTTGAAAACCATCACAGATTTATGGCGTGTGTGCAATCGTTAGTTAGAACATGTAAACAACAGAGGCTACACATGCTATGCATTCTGGGGATACAGTTAGGGTCAAAGCATAGAAAATGGAGGGAAGTTAAGGAACATACTCACTTGAGTGCCTAATTTGCACATGTCACGGTGGTAACTGCACACACAAATGCAGACAGACCGTTGCACATACTGTTTTTGTGAGTGCAGGTAAGTTTCCAGTTCTCAAAAATGTAGCCCAGAAAGTCTTCCCTTCTCCTCGTCGCACTTTCAGGCCTTTGTTTCAAAGTTTCTCTTCCTATAAATGCCTAATATAGACAGTGCACATTGTCACATGTGTGGTCTCCTTCCTCCCCCTTCTTGTAGAGGCAGATGATCTGGGAAATCTAGTCAGCAAGACTATTGCTGTTATGAAGCACGCGGACAGCCAGCAGCTGCTCACCAGCAGCAGCCTTGCATATGGTGAGTACATCAAGGATTTATTTCAAAATACTCCTCCTACTTTATTTCACATAAAGAGAGGGAAAGATGATCCAGAACAGTCTGCTGTCATGTCTCCTCTGCTCACCATGGTGATTAGTGACTTAGACCATGTCCACACTGGGGATTTCAGCCTTTTGTATTGAGGCGGCTACACCATTGAAAACCCCTAGGGACTTACCCCTGCTTGCAACTGAAGTAAACTGCACCAGTGCAGCTTGTAGCTCACAGGGCTTTGCTTGTCTACACTAGAGTTTGTACCTGCACAGTGGCTGTTCACCAGTGTTGTACCCTGGGCCAATCACTGTTGTAAACAAGGCCTTTCAAAATCTAGGCATAAATGTAGTTGGGTCATTGACTGGCCTACGCAAGGCAAACAATCAGGATTTACAACTTATGCAAGGTTTAAACACTATTATTGTACCTAACCCAGATCATCACAGGGTTTGGGCAGTATTGAACTGTGTTAAAGCATGTTCTATTCCAATCTCAACCCAAGTTAAAGCAGCTTCAAGAACCTGATTTGGCCTCATACACTATGCCTGGCCAAACACTGTTATAACCAGTTTTATCTACAGCTTTATTTGTACCCTGATGATGCTAAAGTCCAGCTGTGAAAGCAGTCACGTTACTGTACTTTGTGCAGACAGAGCCTTCCACTGTCACATTATAGGGAATGTGACTAATCAGCAGTACAGCTTTTAGTGATGCCATACAAATTTATCTTGCAGCCACTACCTTCATAGTCATTTGCATTTCAGCATCCTCACTTTGAAAAGCAAGAGAATTCTTCCTCCCCGATGGAGCTCTATGAATCTTTGTTTTCTCCTCACTTCAACCCTCCAATTCTCTTTCTGAGCCATGAAGGCCTTTACTAAGGACTCCACTGCTATTATCAGAGTCAAGGAAGGGTAGGGACGGTTTTGTGGCCTGCAGCATGCAGGGGGTCAGACCAGATGATCATAATGGTCCCTTCTGACCTTAAAGTCTATGAGTTATGTGGAAGGTGCTCCCATGTTATGATGGCAGTCTGCAGTATAAAACCCTAGGATAGACGGATTGACTAGCAGCCACCAGGCTCCTAGAACATAACTTTCTAGGCCAGAATCACTGCTTTTAAACCACTGGAAGGGTGGGTGTTGAGTGGTACAATGCATGTCTTAGGGACTTTACCCTCCTCCAGCTCCCTTTTATCCTGTGCTCTCCTGCTAGCCACCTCATGCTCATTCTCTGACTCCAGGTATATTCCATTTCTCTTGTCTTTTCCCCATCTCTCCACCAGTTAGTTGAGCAGGTTTCTAGCACACTTTCACTTAGAGGTTTTAGCTCTTGTTGTTGCTTTTGTTACACAGAAGTACAGAACTCGATACATGTCAAGTGACAATAGAAGTTTAGAAACAAAATAGCCGCTCTGTCAGATAAAGCAGAACTGAATGCATCAACTTTGCCTATGAGAATATCTGCTCCCATGGGACAAAGCCAGCGTCTAAGAAAGGGTATCAGCAATTTTGTCAGTGTTTCCTCCTGGGATGGCTAAAAAGCTGGCTCTGTTCACAGCAGGGGACTCCTTGGCGATTTCATTTATTTTTTTTCACACCTCTTTTTGTTCTCACTTGTTATCTGTCAGAGGCTGAAGCCAGGCTGTGTAATGGAGAGCGTACAAAGGGTGATGCGGAACAGCAGCTTTCAGATCAAACGAGGACACAGCACTTTAGCGACGGCAATGCACATTCTAGCTTTTGTGTTTTGTTGTAATAAAAGGAAAACAAGGAACAATAAAATTCAGAACATTTGTTATCAAGCACTGTAATGAAAGATAATAAAGTTTCATTCCTGATGTTAAGCAATCCAATACTGTAATAAGAAAGGTAAATTCAGTGCTTTTGCTTTCAAGGGAAACAGATGAGCTTTTGTTCCTTATTAAAAAGTAATCTAATACTGTATGTGTCCTCTCCACTTGGCTCTTAATATACAAATGTGATATTAGCTAGGACACAGCAACTGCACCTTAAATGAAGACAGAGCTCCGGTTGCTTGGCTTGTCAATAAGACTGAGTAGCTAATTTAGTAAAATAGTATTTTGTGCTATTAACAAGTACCCACATAATTTGACAGAATTTATAACCTACCTGAATACTTACACAAATCAAATCCTTTGCATTATCCTGAAGGCACAGAGGTAATACTGACCCAGACTTCTTGGGTTCCAGCACTGAAATTACATTAAAACTGAAGCTCAGTGACTCTGAGACCCAGTAATAATTGGTGCATGTAAGGTGCTGGCTAAGTAGCTGTGCTCATGTCTCCCTCTAGTGGCTGGCATATATATAGCAACTAAAAAGTTGCTACCTACTTCTGTGGGCTTCCCCCACCCCCTTAGCTCAAATAACAGGGACTGAGGATCATGGGTTCTATCCCCACTTGATGATAACATGGTAAGTTCATGAGGTAAGAGCCTGAGATTGCTATTGTGGGCTAACAGAGTTAACCCCTTTAGCTGAGCATTGGTTGCTTGTGCTTTTGCTGCTGGTGTTCCCAGGTTCTGTCCCCATGAACAGCCTGTGGTGAGTTGGTTGCACGGTGACATAATACAGCATCTTTCATGGTGAGATCTCCCAACGCAGATAATTATCTCTAATTAACATAAGAGGAAACAGGGGTAGAAAGGTGAAATGATTCACCTAAGGCCACACAGTAAATAAGTGAGTGGGAGAGCTGGGTCTCCGAGCTCCCAGAATTCCCTATTCTGGCATGTCAGTCTAAAATGAAAGTCCCCCTTGTCTCTAAGCTCCCTTCCCCCAGTTCTGGCTCTGGGAAATGTTCATGAAACACAAGCATTCACCACTAGATAAGTGATTCCAGTAGGTACCTCCCATATTGGAAGTGAGTGACAGTTAAGTTCTAAAGGCTGTACTATGGCCCAGGTGAAAGGAGTTGGCAGTCTCATTCCAGGTCCCAATACCACCACCAGAGAGTACAAACATTTGATGGGCACACAGATTGAACTACCTTCTTACCCCTAGAGCAGAGGTCCCCCAAAAGGTTCCGGGCCAGCCTCCACAGGCGTAGGGAGGGAGTGCCACCCAGCCCCGCTCTGCCCCGTCCCCACCCCCAGCCAGGGCCCTGGACCAAACCCCGTCCCCAGCTTTGGTCTCCCCCACTGCAGCTCACCCGTGGCTTCTGCTCCCGGCCCTGCCCCCAGCCTCGGCCCCTAGACGCAAGTCCCTTCCCGGCCCCAGGCCCACCCCAGCTGTGGCCCCAGCCTCAGCCCCTTACCTCTGTCCATGCCCCCACACCTGAGCCTTGGCCCCATTCCCAGCCCGGCTCCAGGTGGCGGGGCACAAACAGGGTAAGGGGAGGCTTGACCGTGAAAAGTTTGGGAACCATTGCCCTAGATGAGGGGGCTTGAAGAACCGCATTGGCAGGGAAGCTCAAGAGTATTTAAATTTTCTATTGTTTATACTCAACATACTAATGAAAAGTGTCAAATGATTAGAAGTTGTCTTGCAACATATTACTGCTGCCACATATAAAAGAGCTGGGATGAAAGCTGCACTGTAAAGAATCCCTTTTCTTATTACAGTAACTCCGCACTTAAAGTCGTCCCGGTTAACGTTGTTTCATTGTTACGTTGCTGATCAATTAGGGAACATGCTCATTTAAAGTTGTGTAATGCTCCCTTATAACATCATTTGGCAGCCGCCTGCTTTGTCTACTGCTTGCAGGAAGAGCAGCCCATTGGAGCTGGCTGGTGGGAGCTTGAACCAGGGTGGACCGGCAGCCCCTCATCAGCTCCCCACTCCCCTAAGTTCCCTGTGCTGCAGTCACCCAGCAGGCTACCAATTGCCGGCAGTTCAGCTGTCCCTCCCCTGACTGCCATGTGCTGCGCCTGCCCTCTGCCTTGGAGCTGCTCCCCAAGCCTCTTGCTTTCTGTGTGGGGGGGAGAAGGGGGCTAATGTCAGGGTGTCCCCCTCCCTCCTGCTCCTGCACCCCACTTACCCCACCTCCATAGAGCAGGGGGGACACACAACACGGCTCAGGATGGAGGGAGCTTCCTGGCAGCAGCTGCACCTCAGCTTTCTGATTAACTTAACAAGGCAGTGTACTTAAGAGTGGGGTCAGCGTACTTAAAGGGGAAATGCGCATCTCTCTCTCACACACACAGGGTGTGTGTCTCTGTCTGCCATGCTGTCTCCCCATGCTGCATTGTAGAGTGTGAGGCTACATTAATAACAATGAGTTAACCCTTGCTAGTTCATTTAGCAGTAAGGCATTCCCTGGAAAATATCCCACCCTCTGACTTCACCATCTCAACCAAGCTTCACAATCATCATTGCTGTGTACAGTATTGTTTAAAACTTACACTGTGTGTGTGTGTGTGTGTGTATATACACACACACACACACAGTGTAAGTGTGTATATATATACACACTCATACACACACACACTTTCATTATATACAAGCTTTCACTTGTCTGGTGAAATTTTTTTCACCAGACAAAAGACTATATATATATAGTCTTTTGTCTGGTGAAAAAAATTTC